GATAACCCTCGGTAGAATGATTCTTCCAATGCTATTAAGGATAGAACTCAGCAGAATGATTCTGTCATTCAGCTCGATTCTCCTCCCCGTGAGGATGGTAACGCCAACAATGATGAGGAGGCTGTTCAGCACCATCAAGAAGCTGACGGGGCAAATGCTTCTAGCTAGAACCTTTCTGATGTATTGACCTCCTTTCTTTTGTATTTTTGCCATCTGTATACCTCATCATTTTTTTTGCAACTCTTAAACTTCATCATTAATGAGATGGCCGACTTTTGATTGAACTCTTACCATAAATCCCTTGATTTAATGATTCAATGATATCTGATCTGGTTCTTCTCTGTATGTCAGTGGCTGGCTTTCAGCTAGTGTGTCACTTTTTTACACAGCAAAATTTTTTGTGCAAGTTTTTGGCGTTTAGCTCATAGTGCCAGTTGCCACTTACTTTGCTGAGTGGTTGGCTCTCGGCTAGAATGCCACTTGCCACTTTCACTCTTTTATTATTATTTTTTTTTTTGGCAAGTTTTTGGCGTTCGGCTCGTAGTGCCAGGTGCCACTTACTTTGCTGAGTGGTTGGCACTTGGCTAGAATGCCACTTGCCACTTTCACTCTTTTATATATATATTTTTTTTGGCAAGTTTTTGGCGTTCGGCTCATGGTGCCAGGTGCCACTTACTTTGCTGAGTGGTTGGCGCTCGGCTTAAATGCCACTTGCCACTTTCACTCTTTTATATATATATATATATATATGGCAAGTTTTTGGCGTTCGGCTCATAGTGCCAGGTGCCACTTATTTTGCTGAGTGGTTGGCGCTCGGCTAGAATGCCACTTACCACTTTCACTCTTTTATATATTTTTTTTTGGCAAGTTTTTGGCGTTCGGCTCATGGTGCCAGGTGCCACTTACTTTGCTAAGTGGTTGACACTCGGCTAGAATGCCACTTGCCACTTTCACTCTTTTATATATATATATATATATATTTTTTGGTAAGTTTTTGGCGTTCGGCTCATGGTGCCAAGTGCTATTTACTTTGCTGATTTTCAAACATTCAATTTTTTCATAAGAAGATAGCTCTTTATAGATTTCAAAATTTCGTTCATTCGTGCTTACACAATTTGAAAATGAACAATGATAAAATTGAAACTCGATTTTCTATTGACAATACCTTTTCAGAGACGTAGCATTCCATGGCTTATTGACCAGTCTTTCGGCCATGGTTTCTGAAGTGTAAGCTCCCTTCCCTAAGACTTCTGCAACTCTATATGGGCCTTCCCAAGGTGTCACCATTTTCTTAACCATTCCTACCTTCTTCTTCAGAACCAGATCACCTAGTGCAAAGTCTCTGTGCTTTACCTTTTTGTTATGGCTATTCATAAGTGTCTGTTGGTAGGATGCGAGCCTTACTGCCACTGCATCTCTTTTTTCCTCCAACATATCGAGGTTAAACCTCAACATACTGTCGTTATGCTCTCAGTTCCATGCCAAGCTTCGGACAGTCGAAACCAAGTGTTCGACCGGTATAACTGCCTCGGTACCATACGCCATAGCGAATGGGCTTTGTCCGGTCGGTCGCCTTGGGGTCGTTCTATAAACCCATAAGACGTTCGGCAGTTCATCTAACCATTTTCCTTTCTTATCTTCAAGCTTCTTCTTGATGCAAGTAAAGATTGTTCTATTCGTGATTGCTGCTTGTCCATTAGCCTGGGGGTGACTTACTGCCACCAGTTTTTGATTAATTTCATATTCCTCCAATAACTTTCTTACTTGCTTGCTGTCAAAGTTGGTCCCATTATTGTGATACCCCTCGATTCTAGAGCCACGGGTGATCAAGTCCGAGCACAGATCCGAGGGTTACCAAACAATTAATATATAAATAAACAGAAATAAAAACTGAATTAAAAATAAATTAATAATACACTGAAAGAAATCTAAAATGAAAATCCTCGAACCTTAAATAATAAATTAATATAATTTAAATCCGTACAACTCGGGAATCCACCTAGTGGACCCCTAATTCCAAAACTTTAAATAAATTTATAGAATTAAAATCCAAAACCAAAATAGAAAGGAAATCATGTGTAACCGGAAGAATGAGTGTCTGTATCTGCATCAACACGATCAAACTCTAAGCTCGGTACTGGCGAATACCTGAATAATAGAAGTGGGTCAGGCCCACATACAAGTTCCAATCTACTACAATACGTAGATACATCCTTGATACATCCTTAATAGCTCGGCAATATCTATAATAATCCGTATATATATATACATACTATAGGATACTCACTAACCTATAACATAGTTCAGCCTGGGTAGAAGGTGACATATAAAACACGCTTTTCAGTGGTCAAATACCTAGACCTACCAGGGAACATTAGCTATATCTAGCTACTCAACCTTTACAATATACGCACCCTAACCGTAATCAGGAGACTCAAGCTCGTATCACGGTACCATAAATATATATATAAATTCCTTCCTAATGCAGAAAGATAAAACAAACATCTGTTATGTCGTTCAACTGTTTTAGTTGACAGGACATGTATTCATGTAGGAGTTAACTATTTTAGTTAATCCATTCCGTATGTATGAAGGCGTAGGACTTAGCTTTTTGATCTAATCCATCCCTGATATGTCACCGTCTCATACCGGTACATATAATGCAAATGATCCACAAATGATGCACATTCATTAGAACATCAAACATATCCAGAAACCAGCATAATAGAAATCAGATATTATTAAGATCATATCATGCATCCACTATATGATTATAACCATAAATCCTTCCTTTAAATTGTTAAAGTAATGATAAATAATTTAAATTATCCAATTCCATACAATTGATCGAACATAAATTTTAACAGTTCATCAATTAACATCCATAGCACAATATAATGATAAATAGAGTTATAACTGTGCACATTATACTAGACTGCCAAAAATACCTCCATACTAGTCCAGTTCGTTTGTTAAAACAAAACTAGTAATCACAACCTACATCATCCTTGACAGTATGCCAAGTAATGCTTAAATTACATGATGTCCCTTTAATCCTCACTATAGATCATGTGTCTGATATAACGACACTTAGAAATCTACCCGGAGTACATCTTATGAAACCCCAAAAGTATTCCCATACAAGTCCATTTAGTTCGCTAAAACAAAGCTAGCAACTAAAACTCATACAACTCCTGTCGGCATGCAACCTATCAGTTAGAATCACATAACGACCCTAACCATAGCATAAACAACCTTCTTGGAACTGAAACATGTCATTTATATCATTGGTATAAAATCCTAACACTTACCTTTGTAGCCGTTCATTTAATTTGCTAGCCAACCAACGATTCCAGTTCTCCTTCCTTCTTGACAGTATTGAACATTCATATTTTAAAATTTATGTTGTCCATTCTCATGACCTGAAACAATACATCTGAGGTCTTAAACATGCTCTGTACGCCATTTAAGAACCCCCATGAACTCCAGAATTACCCTTTCTGCCCCTGAAGTATCAAAAATTACCAGAAATACCCCCGGAGGAGTTTCTGTTCAAAGGAGCCGGCTCCCCCCCATGGGAGCCGGCTCTTCATCTTCCAGAGCCGGCTCTCCCTCATGGAGAGCCGGCTCTACCTTCTTGGGAGCCGGCTCTCTTCCCCTGAGAGCCGTCTCTACTTCGTCCGGTTGCCGTCTGTGCTTCCGGCGAAGTCCAGTGTTCTATTCCAGACCTTTTTAAGATTATTAAGGTTCCATTAATGCTCTTAAACCCCTAGAGACTCCTCCTATCCCAATGTGAACCAATTGACAAACAAAACTTAAACTACACACACAGTTTATACAATAATAAGTTTAAATTTTAAAAGCTGAACAGATTTCAGAAAACATCAAGCATGAATAAAGTCTATTTTTAAAAGTTTAATTAAGTTCCTGGAGTCTATATAAGATGCACAGAACACAAGTTGACTGAAACTTGCCTTAAGATTCCGGTTTGAAACCTTCACCGCCGTCTCTAAGTTTCAGAATTTCCAAGACTGCATTCCACCTCTGACCACTATTCCAGTCCTCTGTTGTTTCTTAATTCCATCCAGAAACAACCCCTCTGTTCTTCCCCTATTCTTCCTCCTTTAGCCTCACAGCTTCTCCCTCAAGTCTCTCTCTGTTCCTCTCTTCTCTAGTTACGGGGAAAAGGGTTTTTTTAAAACCCTTGCAAACATACAACATATATATATATATATATATATATATATATATATATATATATATATCTGCCCTATCAACTCTAACCCTAATCCCAGCCTAACCATATGTCGGCTAATTAATCCCTATAGAAGAAAAACCCTAATCCTACGACTACACAAAAAAATCCATACCAACTAAGTCTAAAACATACGTCATTAATCCAAGTAAATCACAATCATTTTAATTAATTAAAGTAAATCACAATTACACACCTAAAAATACAACCAACATACAATTACAGTTAAATAACTTATTTAAAGAAAAACCAATACAATTAAAAATAATAATAATTTAAATAAACACTTTCAAACAAATAATAAATAAAACAAAAACACCTAAGTCACATAATTAAATCTATTAAACAAAATTAAATCCCCATTTTATCCTTTTGAAAACTAGGGTATTACAATTATCCATGACGATTGACCTCGGAACACCAAAACGGCAAATAATATTACTCCAAATGAACCGTCTCACATGAGTCTGAGTCACGCTCGGGTACGGCTCTACTTCCACCCACTTAGTAAAGTAATCTGTAGCCAGCAGCACATACTTGTTCTGAGCTCTTGCAGTTGGCAGAGGACCAACCACATCCATCCCCCATTGTGCGAAAGGCCATGGTGTGGCCATTACGTGCAAGTCCTCAGGTGGTTGGTGGATCAGTGGTCCGAACCTTTGGCACCTATCGCACCTTCTGGATAATTCTTCCACATCTCGCGACATGTTCAGCCAGAAGTACCCTTGCGTCATTGCTTTGTGCGCTAAAGACCTTGGTTTCCACATACACCTTCATGAATAGCTCGCAGTATCTGCCGTGCCTCTGTGGGGGTGACGTACTTTAAGTACGGCCCAGAAAAAGATCTTCTATATAACTGGTTATACATTATAGCGTACTTTGCAGCATTCAATTTGATTTTCTTAGCCTCATCTCTTTGCTCAGGCAGAGTACCATCCCGAATGTAAGTTATGATCGGATCAATCCAACTTGGCTCATATGGAATAACATTCACTTGCCAAGGATCTGAGCCTGAAGGTTCGTCAAAAATGAATTGCTGGTTTAATATTCCTACTGGAATCACCTTTGCCAATGTTTCTCCAGAACACGAGGCACTACATGCTAGCCGATCGGCATCCTCGTTATGTTCTCTCGGTATTTGGATGAATTCAATTTTTTCAAAGTTTTTGGCTTCCCACATAACAGCAGAATGATATGCTTCCATCGTTTCATCTTTGGTTTCATACTCGCCATTCACCTGCCGAACAATTAACTACGAGTCACTAAAGACAGTCAAATTCCTGACCTTCAGCTCCTTGGCAAACTTAAGTCCTGCCAACAGTGCTTCATACTCCGCTTCATTGTTGGTGGCTCTGAATTCAAGCCGGAGCGCTTGACTTAAGGACGTACCTTCTGGTGTCTGCAGTTTGCTCCCAGTGCCTGCCCCCATCTGATTTGAGGATCCATCGACAAAGAGTTTCCACAAGCAATCACAAAGGTCTTCCTCCATGTCTTCTGAATCACATTCTAGTAAAAAATCTGCCACTACTTGCCCTTTGACTGCCGTTCTGGGTTCATATGTTATATCAAATAACTCTATGGGCCACTTCGTCATCCTTCCTGAGAGGTCTAGTTTGTGCAGGATTATTCTGATAGGGAAAGTGGTTAGAACTATGATAGGATGGGATTCAAAATAATACCTGAGCTTTCTTTTCGCATGCACTAGCGAGAGTATCACCCGCTCCGCCTTTAAATAACGTCGTTCGGCCTCAGTCATTGTTTTGCTAACATAGAACACTGGATATTGTTTCCCCTCTGCACAACTGATCAAAACGCCACTTGTAGCCATGGTGGATACCCCGAGATATAAAAATAGCTTTTCGCCTGGTTCTGGAGCTAACAGGATCGGAAGGTTCTCCATATATTCTTTTAGAGCAGTTAATGCTAGGCGTTGTTCATTCCCCCAAACTTGTCTGCCGTGGCTTCGTATTGTGTCAAAAAATGGTTTACAGTGATTTGACAATTTGGAAATGAACCGGCTCAATGCAGCGATCTGTCCCATAAGTGTTTGAACTTCTTTGACTGTCGTCGGCTCAGCATTTTTAGTCAGAGCTCCTGCTTGGGCAGGGCTTGCCTCTATGCCTCTATGATTAACCACGTGTCCCAGGAATTGGCCAGAACTCCGAATGAGTACTTGGTTGGATTGAGCTTCATTCCATATTGTCTCAACACATCAAATACGTCTCGTAGATGTTTTAGATGGTCAACTTTCTTCTTACTTTTTACCACCATGTCATCAATGTAAGCTTCCACGGTCTTCCCTATTTAACCCTTGAAAATTTTGCTAATAAGTCTTTAATAAGTTACTCCGGCGTTCTTCAATCCGAATGGCATGACTTTGTAGCAATAGGTCCCGCGTTCGGTAACGAAAGAAGTTTTCTCTTCATTAGCAGAATCCATGGGGATTTGATTGTAACCTGAATAAGCATCTAAAAAGGTTAAACGCTCATACCCAGTAGTAGCATCCACCATTTGATCAATTTTCGGCAGCGGAAAGCTATCCTTCGGACAGGCTTTGTTCAGATTGGTGAAATCAATGCACACTCGCCATTTCCCATTCTTCTTCTGCACCACAACAACGTTTGACAACCAGTCAGGATAATACACTTCTCTTATAAATCCCGCATCAAACAGCCTGTCAATCTCCTCGGCTATGATCCAATTGCACTCGGGAGCAAACCGTCGCTGCTTCTGCTTTACAGGTCTTGCATTGGGATTAACATTCAAAGAGTGACAGGATACAGAAGGATCGATCCCAGGCATGTCTAGGTGGCTCCATGTAAATACATCGGCGTTTTGAGACAAGAAATTAACTAACTCCTGTTTCTCCTTCACGACAAGTCGTTCCCCCACTCTGGTTATTCGTTTTGGTCGGAACCGATCGATCCGCACATCAACCAGGGGTTCTTCGGTCAAGTCCACTGGTTCCTCCTCCCCACTCTGCTTGGAGGGAGGCTCCTGTAATTGCTATCTCGAGCTTGCCGAACAGATGGGAGCTTTCCCTTTTCCAGCAGACTTCAGCGTTACTGAATAACATTCCTTAGCTGCAACCTGGTCCCCATGAATGTCAATCACTTTGGTTCCGTCTGGCCCCAGGCATCTCATTACTTGATGCAGAGTGGAAGGAACACCTTGAACTCTGTGGATCCACCCTCTGCCCATCAGAAGGTTGTAAGAGGGATAAATCTTGACAACTACAAAAGTCTTCATCAGAACCCTCCCTGCAGTGTGTACTGCTACCTCCACCGTACCGATGGGCTCCACTCGTTTTCCAACAAACCCTAGCAAGGGATTTCTAGTGGGTTTGAGCCGATCCGGCTCAATCTCGAGCCGATCAAATGTGTCCCTCGGCATGACGTTCGCACTACTTCCAGGATCAATCAGAACTCTGCGTACCAAACATTCGGCTACTGTCAAACTGACGACCACCGGGTCCTCATGAGGGATCTAAACACACAATAGATCTATTCTGTCAAACTTTATCTGTGTTGATGCGCTCCGTTGGTGCAGATTGTTGACACTGCCTATCCTTCTCTTCATCCTTGCCTGACGACGGCGTGTTCGAAGCAATTCATCTGACTCCTCAATAGGCTAAAGCCGACCGTGAATTGCATTGATTATTCGAACTGGTTGCGTATTGTGTGAGTTCGACTTTTGATTCCTCTCCACGTGCTCCATTGGTCGGTTATGTTCTACCGCCGGGCCTTGAATATAACTTGCGAACTCCCCTCTGGCTATCAGCATCTCTACCTATCTCCTTAAGTTCCTGCATTCATTAGTCTGATGGCCAAAGTCAGAATGAAATGCACAATGCTTAGACTGATCCCTCTGTTCGAGGGGTTGTCTGATCGGTAAAGGAGATCGGAACTTATCTTTATTTTCTTGGTACAGCCTTGTTAAGGTGACTTTAAACGGAGTAACCAGCTCTTCCTCCCTGGGCCTCTTCTCAGATTTCCACGAGGTCTGACGTTGTGGCTAAACTTGTTTTTTTTCTGATCTTTGCTTTGGTTTTCTCCTCTGTGGATATGAAGGATGTCTTCCGAGCGTTAGCTGCCTCTTCTTCTTCTAAACGCACAAATCCATCAGCTCTTTCGTTAAGTTCATCCATAGTCTTCGGCGTATTCACGACCAAGCTTGTGTGGAATGGAGTGCCACAAGTCATGGCCAGTATAAATGCTTGAACCGCGGTAGAAGGATGACATTCAATCACCATACTCTTAGTAAGGTTAAACCTGGTTAGAAAAGCTTAGAGACGCTCATCCTCATGCTGCTTCATTGTGAATAAGCTCAAAATGTCCTTGGCTGGACGCTTATTTCCATAATATTGGCTTATGAACCGATCACACAAGCTTCGGAAACTATCCACTGAACCCCTCGGCAGGTTCTTGAACCAATTGAGCGTTGGTCCAGCTAGACTTGTAGGGAAGCACTTGCACATCAAGGAATCATTCTCAGTGTTTAGAGCCATTTTCAACTGGATGTGATACATATGATCAATCGGATCAGTCGTTCCGTCTAACAGAATGAAAACGGGCAAGGAAAATTTCCTCGGACTCGGGGCATTTAGAATTTCATCGGTGAACGGTGAATCAACCGTTCGAGCTGCTGAATGGAGGGCTTCATTTTCCCTCTGGAACCCCGCGATCGCTCTCTGATCTACAAATCTCCTCTCTGAGCTGCGATAGTCGAACGTCGCCATGGAAGGCCAATAAGTCGGATCGAATGATCTGTCCTCAATAAATTCTTTGTGCCACGGCAGTATAGCTTTGTGATGATCAAACTCCATTACTTCTCCTCGGCTGGGCGTTTCTTGACGTGGATCAAAAGTCATGGCTTCATTTCGCCTGATTTGCTCACGCCGTGGATCCATGTGAGTTGATCCTTCGCGATCATCAACGCGACGAGGATTTGGTGGCAAATCGTTTGGCCGGACCTCCTCACAGTGAAGGTCTGTCAGATTGTTCCCTATCTCCTCGCCGTGATGTGCCGCATCAGTACGTGCAACTTCTTCTCCTGCCGGGAGCGGTCGCGAAATCACCGGAACTTCTTGACGCTGCATTTCAGTCCTTAGATCTGCAATCTCTCTCCTGAAAGCTTCGATCATGCTCATCAACTCATCAAGTTTCATCTGCTGGACATTCTCTACCGCATTGGAGTTCTCACCCCCTATCATGATTCCGGAACGAAGCAAAGGCATGAATCACGAATTCCTAATCAGATCTAAGCGTCACCGATACGAATTCTGTCATATCTGGACTCAACTTCACCGAATCGTGGTCACCATTTGCTAGATCTGAACTTTTCTAGCGTTAAACTCACCGAATCTAACTACAATTGAACAAATCACAGTTGCGTAATTCTGAAGCAAATGCCTCAAAATTAACTATAATTAAGAATCTTCTCTGAACAAACTGCAATCTCACTGATCTGGATTCAACTTCCAGAAATAAAACTTTTTGTTCACGAATTTGCTTGAATCAACATGATATTGATCAAGCTCGAATTGATCGTCTTCGTCGTTCCCATAGACGGCGCCAATTGAAGATGCAAATAATTCTATATCTCTCTTTTCACAGAATCTCATTACATTTTCAATAAAATCAAAATCCTCCCTCTTTCACTCTCTTCACTGCCCTTTTATAGGCAATTACAAGTGTTGCTGAACTATCAGTTTTGGGCCTTCTTTCCAATGGGCTTGGTCTTCTTTGGTGGATCCTCCGAGCTCGGCCCATTCTGTGGTGCTCTTGCATGGGCTGTATTTAAATTGTTTGCCCCGATACCACGTCCGCGGACTATAACCGGCCCATATCACTTATTGTATCCTCAATAACTCTTGTGGATGTTTCAGAGAAGACTATATTTATATACGCACACAAACACGTGTATAAAAAAGCAAGACCTATTTATATTTTTCAAACGGATCGAGTTGTATTAAATGGATCGGGTTTTACTAAACGGGTTGTCACATGCCATCTTGAAATTATAGTTTCAAAATTCATAAAATAATATAGATTTAAAATTTTCAAAAAGTTATTGGATAAAATTCATAAAATAATATTAATTTAAAGATTTTTTAAAAGAAGTTGTAGATTTAGCAAGCAAATTGGACCCATATCGTTTTCAACTAATTTATACCAGCTTAATTTTATCCATTCAAACTATGGTATTAGCATGAAGTATTAAGTTTATTTTTATTTATATTTTTTTTGGAGGAAAAAAAAAAGAGAAGAAAGAAAATGGGTTGTTGGGTCATAAAGGGTTGATCCGGTCCATTTTGATCCAACTTATATTTAACCCACTTTAAGTGGGTTGAATATGGATTGTGACCCGTATTGGACCCGCTTATATTCTACATGACCCAACCCACTCAATTGCACACCTAATTTATATGAATTGTAGAATAAAGAGAAAAATAATGTGGTGTTGAATTTAATGGTCAATTTAAAAATAAAAAACTAGTATTATTTATATCAAGTTTTCTTTCTATTCTAAATGTTCTTAGAAAATATATATATATATATATATATATATACACACACCAGTACAAATGGCAATCCGATCATGATTTGTGATTCTAGGTATGTATGAACCTATTTAGTAAATTCATCCAAAATTATTCCAGAATTATTCGGTATGAATCTAGGCATACTAACCTTTTATTTTTTTTCTCAAACTTGTGATTATTTCACTAACTCACTTTTGTAACATCTCATTTTTGGAGTTTGGAGGTGGCTTTACAAATGTCACTCCTTATCTATATATAGAAATCCCTGTACGATGAATGGTTAGGATACGATGAATGGTTAAAAAATAGTTACGAAATCTCTTCATCTAAATATATACATATTAAAAACTCTCTACTATTTTGGAATTTCACCAATGTTCTCCAAACTAGTAATGTGGAATTTTCAGCACTCTATACTTTCTTATATTTTTTAGTATAATAAAAGAAAATTAGTATATATATTGTTGAGACTAATTGTGTTATATGTATATAATATGCATGAACATATTCATATTGGATTTTTTTTATTTTAAAAACAGAAATCAAATTACATCCGAACATTTATAAACAAGTATTTTTCTAATGTTTGTGGAGAGCACAACTGAGGTTAGGATTATTGTCGGACACGTTAGCAGCATATACACAAATAGTAATATCGCGTGCGAGCTAATGATTGGTCGGTTCCAATAATATGAAACCATGTAATAATTTCTAATTACAAAGCTTTAAATAGGGATTGGATTAGTGGGATTGGATCATTCAGATTTTTGTATTTTGAGTTGTAATGGGATTTAGACCTTGGATTACTACAAACTCATTCCAAGGTATGTACTATGTTTTAGAAAGGTGTTTGGCATCAAATTTTACCACTAAATGTTCTTACAAATTTGAAGTCGACATACCACTTGAGATAGGTCAAGCAATTTACTTTTGACACTTCCACTTGAGTATTACTTTATTTTTTTTTTTTTCTCCTGGCAAACAAAAGAAGCACTAATAACAACAGGCATGAGAATAATCAAGCATTGCTAATTGAAACACTGCAGCAAGAAGTTGAGAGAGAACGTCATCAGCTTGCATAGCCGAATATGAGAGTGAAACAAGAGCATGGGCCACTCTATTGCCTTGTTTGCAGACATGAGAAACTTTAACCCAAGAGAAAAAGCTGAGGTCATGCCGGATGTCAAAGATAATTGGAGAAAGAACAGAAGGCCACCTGCTGCCCATATTCAAAGCTTCCACAAGGAGCTTAGAACCA